CGTTTTCCTAATACTAAGGACTCCAACTTATCAGACCTACTAGAACGAAGATTAGCATAGAACATTCTCAGTAGGGGTTCATTGACTTTAGGCGGAGGAACAGAGAAGAACTTGGATCACCCTTGAAAAACGAAAAGGTCTTTTACCTTACAATTTAAGGCTTCCATGTGATCAAGGTCGACTACCCTCCCATGAGAAATAGGCTTGTCTTTTAGGGCAAGAAAGAAGTCCCTATTTGGAGAATCCCAGAAATTGAGTTCTGACTCAAGAGAACTGGAAAGGTCGACTTTTGATTTCTTTGGAGTGAAGAGAACAGAGGGTTCTTCCATGGGTCTTTTTCCCCGGGCTTTTTCTCCTAAGGGTTGAGAATGATCGGAGAAGTCCGCCTGAGAAGAGGCAAACCCCTCAGAGTGATCGGACCCTAGATCTACTTGTTCAGGGGGCTGAGAAGGGGGTTTTGCCCTGGAGGGGGTGCTCTTTCTAGTGGAGCCAGAGGGATTTTTGGATTGCTTAGCCATTGTAGGAGGTTGATGGTTGAGCAAGTTTTAGGAGAAGGGTTTGTAAGGGATAGAGACGATGGAGATTGACAAGAGAGTTCAACATAAAAAGAGGATTTTCTGACGGTTGAGTACAGAAAAGGAAAAGGCGTCAGATGATCAGACGCGATGATTGGTTTTCCTTCTTTGAATTCTGCGACTGATGTGAAAAGAGTGGAAAAAGGGAGGGAAAATGGAGGCATAATTAATGAGTACGAAACAGATATGGAATATTTTATATACAAAGTTAAACAATTGCACATATGTCCTAATTTTAACAGTTAATTTAAATAATGCCAAGTAATTTTCTTAGTGAACAAAATCTCTCTTCTAACAAAGGCATAGTAAAAATATCTGCTAATTGATCAGTTGTTCCAACAAAAGATATTCTATATTTCCCTTAAGAACATGATCTCTAATGAAGTGATGCTTGATATCTATATGCTTTGCCCTAGAGTGATGTACATGATTTTTAGTGAGACATATAGCACTAGAATTATCACAGAAAATTGGTATAGGTTTAAAAGAAAGTTCATAGTCACCAAGTTGATGGGACATCCATAATAACTGTGCACATCATTGTCCAATTGCGATGTATTCAGCTTCAGTAGTAGATAATGCAACTGATGCTTGTTTTTTACTGTTCTAGGATATCAAAGCTTTTCCAAGTAATTGAGATGTTCCGCTTGTGCTTTTTCTATCTTCTTATCACCTGCAAGATCAGCATGTGAAAAACCTTCTAATTTAAAAGAGTTAGAGTGGGGATACCATAGTCCATGAGAGACAGTTAAAATAAGATATAGAATAATTCTCTTTACTGCAGTCAGATGAGATTCCTTAGGAGCTGACTGAAACCTGGCACATTTACAGACACAAAACATAATATCTTGTCGACTAGCAGTTAGATAAAGAAGTGAGCCAATCATTCCACGATACTTAGTTTCATCAACAGGGATTCCCTGTTCATCTTTGTCGAGACTCATTGAAGGACTCATTGGCATGCTAATGGCTTTAGCATTGCTCATGCCAAATTTTTGAATCAGTTCCTTTGTGTATTTGGTCTGACATATGAACATTCCTTCTTCAGATTGTTGAATTTGAAGTCCAAGGAAAAATGTTAGCTCTCCCATCATGCTCATTTCGAATTCACTTTGCATAAGATTTGAAAATTCCTTGCACATAAGAGGGTTAGCACTACCAAATATAATATTATCAACATAAATCTGAATAATAAGACTACCCTCTGATGATCTTTTAATAAATAGAGTAATGTCTACTTTACCTCTTGTAAAACCATGATCAATAAGAAATGAACTAAGTCTATCATACCATGCCCGTGGAGCTTGCTTTAGTCCATACAATGCTTTGGTTAGCTTATATACGTGGTAGAGAAACTTCGAATCTACAAACCCGGGAGGTTGCTTCACGTACACCGCTTCCTCAAATCCATTCAGGAAGGAACTTCTGACGTCCATTTGAAACAGCCTGAATCCCTTAGACGATGCATATGCTAGAAGGATTCGTATAGACTCCAGTCGAGCTACTGGAGCAAAAGTTTCGTCATAGTCAACTCCTTCCTATTGTGAATATCCTTGAGCAACTAATATGGCTTTGTTCCTTACAACCTTCCCATCCTCATTCAATTTATTTCTGAAAACCCACTTTGTTCCCATTACAGAAACATTTTCAGGTTTGGGTATCAGTTTCCACACTTGATTTTTGCCAAATTGATCTAACTCTTCCTGCATCGCTTGTATCCAACTTGAGTCATTTAGGGATTCCTCTATCTTCTTTGGCTCAATCTGAGAGATTAATGCTATGTTTGCTTTATTTTTGAAAGCTCCCCTGATTTTCATTCATTCATTTGGGTCCCTTATGATGAATTCTATGATATTCAGGTTCACTTCTCCATTCATTTGAACGTACTGTATTTGTAGTTGACTCTTTCGGATGATCTGGTGTACTGTTGCTGATTTCATTAGTTGACTCTCTCGTAGCATTTGATTCGACATTCGACTTTTGAGATTTACTTGTCTCCTAAACTTCTTGAGCTTGATTTTCATCACCTGGAGTAATTCCTTTCTCGACCAAGGGGTTATTTTCATCAAATATAACATGCACAGATTCTTCTACACACAATGTGCGTTTATTATAGACTCTAAAGGATCTACTATTTAATGAGTAGCGCAGAAAAATACCTTCGTCGCTTTTTGGATTGAATTTTCCAAGATTTTCCTTACCATTATTGTGAATAAAACACTTGCTTCCGAAGGGATGAACGTAACAGATATTAGAACGTTTACCTTTCCATAATTCATAAGGGATCTTCTTCAGAATGGGCCTTATGAGGCATCGGTTGAGAATATAACATGATGTACTTAAACCTTCTGCCCAGAAATGATTTGGTAGTGAATGATCTAGTAACATGGTTCTTGCCATATCTTGGAGGGTTCTGTTTTTTCTTTCGACGACTCCATTTTGTTGAGGTGATCGTGGTGCAGAGAAATTATGAGTATATCCCTGATCATTACAGAAGTCTTCAAATGCTTTGCTTTCAAATTCTCCTCCATGATCACTCTGGATTGTTGCAATCAGATACCCCTTTTCTCTTTCAACTTTCTTACACAAGATCTCAAAATTTTTCAGTGCGTCATCTTTATGAGATAAGAAAATCACCCAAATGAAACGTGAGTAATCATCAACAATAACAAAAACATATCTTTTTCCTTCTATACTAGTAGTTCTAGTAGGCCCAAATAAATGCATGTGAAGCAATTGCAAAGGTTTGCAAGTAGATACAATATCTTTAATTTTTAAAGAGTTTCTGGTTTGTTTTCCTATTTGACAGGCATCACAAATATGAGTTCTAGAGAAATTCAGTTTGGAAAGACCAATAACCAAATCATACTTGGATAATTTTCCTATCAAATGCATGCTTGCATGACCCAGTTTCCTATGCCATAACCAAGGATCATCAAATATAGATGTTAAACATATATGACCATTTATATTTTTAAAACCATCAAGAATATAAACATTTCCATACCTTTTACCTGGGAGAATTATTTTACCTGTCTCATCTTCAATAGCGCAGCCTGTTTTCTTAAAATTTACCTCATACCCTGAGTCGCATAGCTGACTTATACTTAAGAGATTGGAGTTAAGTCCATCGACGAGATAAAATTCAGTAATGTCGCAGTTGTTATTGAAAGAATTGTTCCAATACCAATTATCTTTCCTTTTGAGTCATCTCCAAACTTAATGGCTCCACCATCTATTTTTGTAACTTCCTTGAACAGGTTTTTATCATCTGTCATGTAGCTGGAACATGCACTGTCTAAATACCATTTTCCTTTCTCCTGTGGTGTTCCTGCAAAACATAGTGATTACTTTCTTTTAGGTACCCAAGCTTGCTTGGGTCCTGGTGGGTTAGTACTACTAGGTTCAGGACTGTTTTTGGGTTTCCAAATCCATCCTAAAACATTTGACTTACGAAAGTGACAAAAAGAATATTTATGTCCACCTTTATTGCAGTAGTGACACGTAACTCCTAACCTATTTTTATGTCTTTCATTAGTGGTAGTACTAGTGGACCCTTTTCTGACTAGCCCTTCTCCAGTTGACTTGTAAGTCGCCTGGTTTGACCTGATAGAACTATGACTGGTGGATTTGCGCATGCCATTGAGTTGTATTTGCAATTCCTCAAACTCTTCTTGAAGTACTTCTTTTTCGATTTCACATACTTCATATTTGAGCTTCAAGTCTTTTACTTCTTTATTGAGTCTCTTAAGCTCATTCATCATTTTTTGAGACTCTTTCAAAGTTAGATCAAGAATGTCCTGCAATTCATTGCATCTTTCACAGTTATAAGATCTTACCTCGCTTGTTTCACCGCGTGCCATGAAACAGTTCTCATTGTTATCTTTGCACTCGTCATCTGAAGTGTCCTCGTCTATCTAGCATCCTGAAGATTTGTTCATCTCGTTTTCCAGAATCGTCATGTAGTAAAGATTTGCTATCTCTTCGTGTTCTGAACTGTCTTCATCACTCCAACTTCCAAATGATTTGTTCTTGCTAAAGCCTCTGGAAATTTTCCTTTTTAGATCTGGGCACTCAGCTTGAATATGTCCAAATCTTCCACACTCATAGCATTTTCCATCATTCTTATCCTGTTCGTTGTATTGCCTGGATCGCCTAGGTGGATTCCTTCCTCTTCTCGTATTCCTGAATCTTCTCATTAAACCATCCATGTTTCTTGACATCATAGCAATTTCTTCTTGAAGGGCTTCAGGATCATCATCAATATCATTTTCAGCTATTTCAGGTGTGGCCTTGAAGGCAACTGTTTTCTTCTTCTCTTCTTGACTAGTTTTCTTAAGATGTGTCTTCTCAAAGGCTATGAGTTCTCCCCGTAGTTCATCATAAGATAACTTATTTAGATCCTGAGATTCGAGTGTGACTACTTTATGGTCTGCCAAGTAGTTGTAGGCTTCTAAGAATCTTTCTAACTTGATCACCACTTGAATATGGTTTGCCGAAGGCTTTTAGATCGCTAATTATCTTGCTGAATCTGGCAAACATCTCTTCAATGGGCTCTCCTTCTTTCATTTGAAAGAGTTCGTAATCATGAACCAACATGTTGATATGTGTTTCCTTTACCTTGCTAGTTCCTTCGTATGTAACCTCAAGCTTGTCCCGTATCTCTTTGTCAGTGTCACAGCTAGAGATTTTCTCATACTCTTCACCACTTATAGCATTATAAAGCAAGTTTCTCGCCTTGTTGTTGACTTGTACCACTGCCTTTTGCTCATTTGTATATGAATCTATATCTTCAGGATCAGCAAGTGGTTGAGTGGCAGCTGTCAGAGGATAATTCCCCTTTTTGTTGACTATCCAAACTTTAACGTCATATGCCTTTGCATATATCTCCATACACACTTTCCAATGGGAGAAATATTGTCCGTTGAAGTATGGTGGCCATACTTGCGAAGTTCCTTCCTGGAAGAGTGCTCCTACGATAACTTAATTTGCCACGATCTTTTCTCACGAGCTGTTAAGCAAAAGAAAAATGTGAGCCTCACTCTGATACCAATTGAAAGTACAAGGGGGGGGGGGTGAATTGTTTATTTTTAAACTTAATTGCTATTAGTTGACTAGTTTTTCAATTAGTCGACTAGATGTAATAAGTTGACTGTGATAACAACAGAATTTAAGATGCTGAAATTAAATGCAGGAATTAAAGACACCAGAATTTTATACTGGTCCGGATTCAATGTGAATCTTAGTCCAGTATCCTTGGGTTGCAAGGGATTTCTTTTCAGTGAATGAGTTTCTTCGAGTATATAGAGAATGGTGTGATCTACACCGATAGCTTAGTTCTTATATCACTCGTCTCTTTTGATACAATGCCTAACCAGTGTTGTTCTCTCTTTCTTCTCTAACTTGTTACACAACATATCTTAATAGAGCTACAATATTTGTTTGCAGTAGAACAAAGAGAGAGTGTTTGGTTGAATCAAAGTATATGTGCTAAGGTGAGATTACAAGTTTAAATACTTTGAGAGAGGCTTGAATTCTGGAAAGATTTGCCAACCCAAGGGATTTGATCCTTGGAAAGAGATTGATTCTTTCCAAGAATAAAACTATTCTGCAACGGCTCCTTTGATCGAGAGGCTATAAAGATTTTTCCTTATGTGTGAGCCCGAAATCTTGTTCCTCCCATATTTAGACGCTTGATTGAATATTCGGCAGGATCTTCAATATACTTGATTTATTTGCTTCCTTTAGTTTAGCCTTGATTGATCCCGTCAGTATCTTCTGATTGATTTCTTCTTTCTTTAATCGCGTCTCCTTTCCTTGAGGTCCTCTGATTGATTCCGTCAATCTTGTATATCAATCCATACGTTCCTTGATCATTGCTGATTGATTTCTCCAACCGCTCCTTTTGCAAATCTATACTCCTACCCAATTCTTTTTACTAGATTTTAGGTACTAAAGAACATGCATGTATGTTTTCAACTTTTATTTTCAAGAATCAATGCATGAGAATCCCCTTTTTGTTAAAATCTGGAAACCAATGAAAAAAGGCTGGGTATCTTACCTGCAAGAACGGAGATGAAGACAATTACTTGAAATTTCCCGGCCCGGGTGACTTTGAAGAATCAAATTGATGAAGGTATGACTTTATCTCTCAAGAACTCTCTCTTCCCTCTCTCTAGTTTGTTCAGAAAATATGTTAAAATGAGGGGTTGGGGTGTTTTATTGAAGAAGGGGTCGGGTTTAAAATTTAGAAAAATAGGAGCCCCGAGTCAGGTATGCGATCGCATTTGCGATCGCAAAGAAGAAATGCGGCCCGCAGAATTGACCGCAAAAGTGCTCCAAGAATCTGACCCTTCTGTCTGGGTTTGCGGCAGAAGTGCGGTCCGCATACACATTCTGCAGTCGCATAATGCACCGCATAACTGTCCTTTGCAAAATTCCAAGATGATTATGCGACGACTATGCGGTCCGCATATTAGTTATGCGATCGCATAGTGGACCGCATTTTGACCTCAAATTTGACTAACACACTGACTCACTTTGCGATAGAAATGTGGTCCGGATACTTGATTTGCGACCGCATTCTAGACCGCATAATAGCACTTTTCTGAAAAACTTTGATTTTTTTGATTTTTAAATGCTTAGATCAGTACAAAGGGTCCGAACCGCGGCGAGAAAGAATTTTACACATTCCTAACACATACTTGGAACTGGGCACTACGAGCTACTAGGTTTTGATTACAAATTTTTCACGGGGCCTTACATCCTCCCCCACTTAAAATCATTAGTCCTCGAATGAGGATTTTGGAAATCAGTTGGTTTTGAAAACATGATATGCAAACTCCCAATTTTCACTAACTTCCATATTTTTAGAAAATTTTGCCAGAGTTTCCTTTGTAATTAGACTTATCTACCTATCAGAGAGCCCCCGAAACGTATTTCCAAGCACCATTACACTATTCCTATTATCCCTACAACTGGTATTCAATTCATTACCTCACACTTGCACATATTCAATCACTTGTCACATTTTTGCACATAATTTGGTCACTTCAATGAGTCCCATACAGTTCATCAACTTTAATACTCTATATGCATTTCAATTAATCATTACCAATCTACACTACCATTAATCATTCACTTATCACATGAGTTTTTACAAAACTTTCATTTACAAAAGAGGGGTTGCACATGACTCAAATAATCACAACACCTACAATTCTTGCACAACTTGAGGAGTTACAATAGTAAAGCATTTAGGGGAAAATGGGGTATCTTTGCACCAAATTGAACACAACATCAGCTTGCTTAGAGATAGGAGTTCGCACGATTACTACTAGACTTATTCAAACAGGTGGGGATATTTTTCTTTCATTTCATTTTTCGCTTCCCACGTGGCTTCCTCGACTCGTTGACTTCGCCATAATACTTTAACTGAAGCAATTTCCTTATTTCTCAATTTACAGACTTGCCTATCAAGAATAGCAATCGGAACTTCTTCATATGATAACTCTTCATTAACCTCGATAGTCTCAACTGGCACGACGGTGGATGGATCTCCAACCACTTTCTTTAACATAGACATATGAAAATACAAATTTATGAGGAACAACCATGGGGAAACATCATACTCCTAGTGCGACCTAATGGGAAATGCGCTTACGTACCCTTCATTATCAATTCACATAACATCTACATGGGAAATTTTTTGAGAATAACCAGTTTACCCTCCTGAATTCTAAATCTCTACTCGAACACCCATGCTAAACCTTGATGACCTTCGATGATTACTTTAAGATGTGCTATCATAAACTGGCCATAAAACTAACTATCGAACATATGTGATCACACGGGGATGATCCCCATTTGACATGTTTGGACCTTCAATACCTAATAAATTTAATGCAATGAGGAACACAGAGTTCAAGATTGAGTTGGAGTTATCCAGGAATTCATTAATGCGCTGAGTAGAGTACTTTCTGAGGTTATATGCTAAGGGACATGAAAGTTATAACTAACAATGCTGACATGGTTAATCACTGTGACGACGTCAATTATTACACAAATGAGGCATAGGGGTAAGTAGTACATTGGAAATAGGAATTATCAAGGAGGAATATTCAAGTACATGACCCAGTCGTTTCCTAGAGTAAAGGGAAAATCAATTCATACTCTGGTACCTTGAATGCAATATGGGATTCAAAATACATGAAGTGGAATTACACTCCTGGCGTTAGCTGACACAAGGAATCTATGCCGTAAGCCCATGAGGATGAAAATGAAGTTAAAACACTTATGAGATTATCATAACTCAAACAGCTTAACCATCCCCGACGATTGACCCTATATGAGAGAACTAAAGGTACGACAACTTGTCTTCCAAATCAATATGCTCATGATATGGGCAAAAATCTCAAGGCACCGAATCTCCCCCTCTCACGAGTAGAACCACATGGCTAAGACATCTAAATGTTGGGATGAAATCATGTATTGGTTAGAGGCATTCTAATGGTTAATCATGAGGCTTCGGGGAGAAAGACAAATGACACTCCTATTCACCCAAGTAGGTGTAATACCAAGGGTAGCAAAACTCCCCTCACATAAAAATGATATAGTCAATTATTCTAGAAGTCGAGTGAGAAGAAGGCCACGTAACCCATCCAATCCGACCCATTTAAGACTTTGGAAAAAGGGGACTCACTTTGGTTTGAAATCAGGCAATTTCAGCCCGAGCTTAAAGGAAAATCATTAATTTTGAAACCCATGAGACAAGCTCTCGTAGTCCTAGAAAATCGATAACAATGGCGAGAAAGTACTTAAAACCATTACGAGTTGGTATAAAATCAAGGCCTCAAGGTGCCCACATGGATAAGTTTGAAGGAATGAGACGTTTTAATGCATTTATCGGGGAAAAGTAACCTAGGTTATCTAGTCACATGGACAAGTGGAGCAGGTAGATGATTGTTTAGGAGAACATCTCATAAGGAGTGCGAGCAATATCTTTTTATCCTAACAAAAGGAACATGTCCCCATCCTTAATGTTATAAGACTTCCCCTTTGATGCCATGAAACATAAACGAATTTTACGATGAGAGTTATCAGATGAAATAGATAGTAGGGTAGCAAAACTAATGAGCACCACTTGGAACCAACGAGCTTAAACCAAGTTGAAGACATTAGAAGTCTGTAGGAAAGGAGAAATTTGCCCACTCTCGGGGCACTTGTAGAGTACATAAAAGAAAAATGAGGCGAATTTAATCGAATCATATAGTTGGATAACTAGTCGAGATGTTGAGATAATATCGCATTGAAGATTACAGGTGAACGACACATGATGCAAGACAAATGAAAGAAAGTGAGAGAGCCTTATGGAAGTAACCTTTACATTGTAACATGTAACCACTAGGAATGGTGGTAGTATAAAGCGATTACGAGAAGCTACATTTCTGAAAGAAGATCTCTGTATGAAGTCACGTGATGTATAACTCTAGAATTCAAAATAATCCAATTATGTTTAGCAACTCAACTTCATAATGAAGCACTACAACACACTTTTACACAACCAGCTATTACAAGCCACATTGGGAGATGCTATAAGACTTGACTGAGAGAAAGGCTTTGACATATGAATGTGTTACTAGGTGTATTTCTCCTTGGCCAACCCAAAACCAAAAGGCGAGACATAGACTGATAAGTAGGTCGTTGGACTAGCACAAGTGTAGATAATCCATTATCGGGAAGAGATCATTCAATTTCAGTAATTGCGGCATGCTATCAACCCTTGATGAACTTGAAGTGATATGAGAACCCAATGAGATAGTATAGAATAATCATGGAGGGTTTGCAGATGTTCATAATGAGTTCTTCATGGATTTTGACTTGAGAACTACCCA